ATTCTCTTAAATAAAATTATTGAGYCAGCATTTTTATAATCACTTTCCAGATTGTTCHACAATCTTATTCCTTGGACMGAAGTACATCTGTCCTTCAGATTTGTTCGAATTTTGGGCTTTACAAACATCTCGATACCCTTAAGGTTATAATTACTTACTCTCTTAACAAAATTTAATTGAATATTTAGAGTTAATAATTTTTTATGAGCTTTATACATAACCTGCAAAATATTATGATCAACCAACTCATAAAATTTTAATAATCTCAACTGACAAAATAATAAATTTGATGGGTGACTGTAATTTTTTCTGGTAATAATTCTTACGGCTCTTTTCTGTAAAATAAAAATGGGATTTGTAATTGTTTTACATGCTTTCCCCCAGACCTCAACACAGTAAATTAAATGTGGAAAAATTATTGCATTATACAACATAAACAAAGCTTTGTCATTAAGTAACTCCCTTACTTTATACAATACTGCACTGGATTTGGCTATTTTTGTTCGTAAGTGATTTATGTGGGATTTCCATGTCAGCTTTTCATCATTTCAAATACCTCTACTTCAATCAAAGATCAGTTTAAAGAAAGAAAGTTTAATTCTGATTGTACTGATGAGCTAACGGCTAGTCTGAGCTTAGAGTTCTATATAAATAAAAGCAAACCTGATGGTGATTTAAATGTTTGTAAAATAACTGCATCAAACCCAATGATTTATTTTAGCTTGCAGTTGTTTTAGGACATTGACAATCCACTTTGGTCCAGGCACTGTTCAGACTAGCCATTAGCTCATCAATCCAGTCTAAATTAAACTCATTTCTTTAATCTGAGATTCTTCAAAGAGCCATCTGCAACAGGTTAGACATTGTTTATTTAAAGGCTTTCCATAAAATCCCCTTCAAATGATTTGAACTGTTAAGACTCTGAGCAAGATGAGTGTAAATCTGGCCAAAGATGGAGGCAGTGAAAGACTCTGTCCACAATAAAAATRGATGGAAATCCATGAACAGGAAAGGAGTTTTCTCTTTTCCCTTCAAGTGTTTGCTTCCCTTCTTACTGTCCTCCTGCAGTGACCTGTTAAAAGCCATGAGACGATCATCCCTTATCTGAACACTCCCCTTCGCTCGGCACATCCCTCCCTGTTGTTGAAGWAATTCAGCTCTTCCTTCTGACTCTATCTCCACCACCCAGTCTGTCAGACACACGTACTTATATCTGTCTTACTATTTAAGTGCGGGGGGCCTCCCAGTTATACAAGTGTTCCTTAAACTGTCGGCTTTTCTTCTCGTGTCCCTTCCCTCTGCCTTTACCCCTCTTTTACACAGCTTCCAATTCGTAAACAAGCCAATTAGTTTTTTTTCTCATTGGAAACTTCCACATGTTGAATTCTTTTAAGTCTTTTAAGCTTGTTTCAGCACTTGTCATCAAATTCTTTGTTACCTCTCATAGCAAAAAAACATCCAGCTCAGCATCCCCCCACAGCAAACAATAGATTATGATTTCCAGAAACAAGATGGGATTTTTTTTTCTGTTTTCTGTGGACTTGTTTTGAAGATTATCTGACTCATAGTTTCCTCTAAAGCTGACCATTGCTTGCCTGTTCAGTTAAAAACTCCCTCTTTCTCTCTTTTTCTTTTGAATTTAACATGGATTGTCTCCCCGGCATGAGGAGAAGCGAGGCCTGAGGCCGTGTGGGAAAGTCTGTGACCACAATAAAGCCCGAGAGGCATAAACTGGCAGGGAGTTGTATATGTGGAACTGACTTAAAAGTTAAAAAAAAAAAAAAAAAAAAAAAAAAAAAAAAAAAAAAAAAAAAAAAAAAAAACAGAGGAGTATTTAAGGAAGTTTTAGGGGAAGTAAGTTTTTGTGGCTCCAAAGGAGATGAAAGCTTACAGTTTCAGGGCAGCTACTGTATGCCCTCACTTTTTCAAGCTTTAACTGGAGGGAGCTGATGCTAATGCAATAAATGTGTCATTAGCTCCATGACTGCATATTGTGCATCCATTACCAAACTTCTAATGTGCTTGTACTGTTAGAGATGTAAACTATAATAGCAGCTGAATTGTAAAACTGCTTCTTATAGATCTCCTTCTAATGGACATTTATTGATGTAATGCATCATTCATGCTCAGAAATGTCTTCTCTTTGTACACAATCATGCCAGATGTGTTTTCTAAATGTGAGTTTGGCTCCAGCCACTAGATGGAGTCATTTTYCTGTGTGAGGGTTCATGAATCTGGATAACTTATATGCAGCTCCCACTTCTACAGGTAACTACAGGGGATTCGTAACCAGCTGACTTTTGTTTTGTGCTCACCAGACTGCAACTACTCCTGTCACCTCGAGTGTGCCGCTCACGTCCAGCTCGACTGCAACCAGAGAGACAGAAAGCAGCAAGAGAGCCCACACCCCAGGAGCCGCAGCTCCTCCGCAGCTCCTCAGCACAAGGTGAGGACTTGGAAGGCAGAAAGCGTCTGTTTAGTGTTTGTTGGGACACTTAAAAAAAGCAAAAAAATCCCACGTGTGTAGCTCTGTTTTGGGAATACGAGTTTATTTATTGCCGTTCAGCCGCTCCTCCCTGCAGTTTGTTTTATTTAGTCAATGCTGGACCATCACTTCCTCATCCCTCGTCAAATGGAGGGAAACCACTTAGGTTAATCATTATCCTCTTCAGGGACCTCGGCCATGGAAAAGCTGTGTCGGCTCAGGAAACTCTCTCCCTGTTTTCTGACGAGAACATTAAGGCTGGTTAGTAAAATCATCMAACTGAATTTAAAAGGAATGCTGAAATTTAAGTTTTTTTAAATGTTCTTAAAACATTCGAGTCACAGAGTTCATCTTCAAAACTGTACCTTCTCTTCCAATCTACTTTTAGCTACAAGGACTTCACCACGCCCGCACTGTGGTCCACACACGCAAACAAACAAATGCAGATACAAGAGGGAGCTGGAGAAKTGTGTAGAAAGTGTTGGCAGCAACATTTTGCTTCAGGCCAAATTAGTCTAAATTAAACCCCTGGTACTGCGCCATTAGTAGTACTACACTTGTGTGGAGCAAATCTACTCATATTCACACATTCATGCTGCTCTGTAACATGTTCATTGGTGGAGGGTGGAGATATTTGCAGGGTAGGCTAACAGATATATAATGTATAGATTTATAATAAAATGCTCCAGATTGGATTCCAACAACAGAAGCAGAAAAACTTCAATTTTTCTGGATTTGGATATCCTTTGGTCTATCTTCCCCCAACTTCTTCACTTCCAGTTTTTCCTCTGAAGACATTAAAGAAAACAWGTGAGACATTAAATAATCCATTTTGATTATGTTAGTCTTGCTCGCCACCATACCTACTCAGTCTACACCAAACCACACCCACATACACTACGCTTCACACACTTTATTGTACGTCCACCCTCAGTGGATAAAGCCTGTGGCCTTGGGCTGACCCTGGGCTGAACTAAATTAGCCCCAATGAGCAGCAAACTGAGGAGGCGGGACAAGACACCTGTCAATCATTCTGTACCACGAAAGACATCAAACAGGRCTATTGAGCTGAATTGCTCAGGGGGCCACAGTTACTCAAAGCCAACTGCTCAGGGGCCGGACATCCAGGGGATGGCGGGGCATTGCCTGATAAATTGTAGGGGAAACGTAAAAGATCAAGTACTGTTTTTTTTACTTTGTAAATGTGTTTATTTTGTGGCACTGAATAATGCATTGATTTAAAATATCAAATTAAGAAAAAAAAAGCCTTGGTGTGGGGGTGGCTCTCTGGTGGGCTAAACAGAGGCTAGCAGTTGGATAACCCTGCACTAAGCAAACGGCTGTGAAAAGTTAGCCCTTTGAAAAAACTCTGGGACTTTTGGCACCAGTTTTGTTATAAAATATAAAACAGATTTTTATATTRGTGTTTATTAGGTATTTGAACATTTTTATTGTAAACACCAGGCAGGGCTTAGCCCTACTAGCACACATGAACCAGCCGGCCCTGAACACGTTGAAGGTAAAATTTAAAGAGTGAAGGACAGATCTGTAAAACTTCCCTTTCATTTTTATTCAGACACCTACAGGGTTAAACATGAAAGCCTATGTGAATCAGTAAAAAGGAATTATCTAATAATGGGTGCAGTTAATATAGTGGGGCATTATTACCCTGAGGATGTTTGATCCACATCACTAATWGACATTGAACACTGACATAAATTTCATTAATGTTAGTCTTTAATGCATTTTAAACAGAAGTAAGAACTCTTGCGTGCAAAGCATGTTATAAAGGAATGTGTTGAAACAACTGGGACCTAATCAGATGTTGATATTACAGAGCTTCAGGTTAGAATTGAGGAAGTTTTGACGTTTGTCTGGTCCTGAACTCTGTGACTGAGGCTTGTTTCTGTGCAGACTGTGGCTTGCTTCATTGTGCTACAGTAGCACTGCAGACGTGAGAAAAGATTATTTCCTGCAGTYTCCCCATGCTCCGTTTTATAGCTGTATCTGTGGTTGTGTTGTCCCCTCTCTCTCTCTTTTACTTATTGTGTGTCTCAGCAGAAATTGATCCCCTTTCTGCTCAACGTGCACACTGCCGCAATCGAGCTAGCATTGAATGCACTGAGCAGGTTTTATTGACCTGAAACCAGCAGGACTGCCTGTTCACTTTGCATATGTGTGTGTTGATGTGTGTTTGCAGCTTCCCACCCCCTGCATGCTGTCTTCCACCACGATTGCACAGAGGCCAAATCTCATCTGAGCTTAACTGAAAACGACACTCRTCTCATAAAAGTGTGTCACGTTCTCACAGGATCCCTAAAGCTTCCTCTTCTGTAGTCGGAGCAGATTTTTTAAAATGGTTTTACGAAAGCAGCAGATGTGTGCGATCAATACCGGGGATGAAAGGGGCATTAGCTGCTTTTTGACAAGGAAGGTCGCTGCCAGAGTGAAAGGGCAGATCATGTGGTCGATGTTGGGTTAGAGGTCATTTCTGTCTGGACCAATATTTTCTTAATCTTACTTTAAGCCACATAAACCCACTTCTTTGAAGGAATATTACGAGAAAGTTTTGCTTTTCAGTTTGACTGGCTTTAAGGCTCACAGTTACTCGTGATTTTAAAACGATTCAACACGAATGCCAGGTTGTTTGGTGGCCGTGCTGATTTCCACTCAACCGTCCCACGCCGCCGAAGAAAACGAGAAGCAGAGCCGCCATGTTTCACCGCCCTGCTGCTGCTTCCTGTCTCTGCCGCCTCTCGCACCTACGAGAGTCGTGAGGCTTCGTATCTGTCGCTCATTGTCGTTTCTCTTTCTGTTTACTCATGCCTCTCCCTCTCTGTTGCTTTCGTCGTCTGCGAGGGGAAGTGGCCGTGCTCTGCAGGGTGCAGTTGCCTGCAGGAAGAGGGGGGAGAGAGAGAGAGAGAGGCAGAAGGGGGAGGGTGCTCTCAGCCTGATAACGCACTCGACCACAGATGGTGGAGKGAGGTTGTGAGAGACCGAGAGAGGAAAACGATTGCAAAGACAGGCAAGGGAAGAGAGAAAGAGGAGAGGTTGTGTGGGAGGAATCAGTTTGGAGTAGTATCACCAAGGCAATGGATAGACGAGGAGGGAGTCCTGTCGTAGCCGAAATATCTGCTGCTACTGCTTGCTCTTGACTTCAGGCACTGATGGGTGCATAGCGAAAGCTCCTTCTGCCATCAGGACCTGAGCTGAGCCATCATTCATTCCTTTGCAGAGACAGAACCGAAGAAGGATGTGGTTTTGCTCGCGTGCCATCATTTGTTTGCGGGTATAACAGGTGCCTCTCAGGTGAGCAGGGTTAACTTACAGCCAGCCTGTAAACTGACTCCCTGACACCACCGGCCGTCTATACGAGCGTGAAGGAGTCCCAAACCGTGTGAGCTCATGTCAGCTGCTAACAGCCCCGGTACCGGACGGCCTGCTTGTGACACCAGCATCAGAGCGTTCTCGAAACACACGCTCGTCAGGAGGAAGTGACACGTCTGTGCTTCACCTCGTATTTCCTGGTCCCTTCTCCGGCGGCGCTCAAAGTGCCGAATCCAACCCGAGCTCACCTGTTTGGCCCGTGCAGATGGGACCCCGAACTCTCTGGATGGCGTGGTCAGAGGTGGAGCTCTGACTTCATCTGGATGAGTGAAGGAGAGACTGAAGCGTCGTGGACTCTGATTGTGGTTGAGCGTCGCTTCGTTCTGAGGCAACCTGACACTTCCTCAGGCCATCAGTGAGCTGCTCCRGTGTTGAAGCTACCCTCGCGTAGACCTCTCCATGACTGTCAGCACAGTTCTGACCCCCTCCATGACCAGCAGTAACAGCATGAGCAGCGGGTACTGCAGCCTGGACGAAGAGAGCGAGGACTTCACTTTCTTCACTGCCAAGACCTCGTTCTTCCGCAAACCCAAGCATGCAGCGAAGGTAAAACATGTTCATGGCAAAGGATTCTGGTTTTCAGTAACAGAATCAAAGAACAAAGATGGTTGATGTTTCAGTGAGACTGGGAAAAATATAATGTTTTATTGGAACCAAAAAAAAAAAAGAAAGAAACATGCAGTCTGAAAGCAGAAGTCAGGAGAGGAAGTGGTGATGTTTAAGCAGGCCTTTAGGTGTGTGTGTGTGTGTGTGTGTGTGTGTGTGTGTGTGTGTGTGTGTGTGTGT